AGTTAATACCTCAGTTTATTTGCAAAATAGACTCTCAACTGAAGCACTTGACAACAAGACTCCTTTTGAAGCTTGGTTTGGGATAAAACCAAAAATTGATCATCTTAGAGTGTTTGGTTGTATCTGTTACACTATAGTTCCAAGTGCAAAAAGAAGTAAGCTGGATGAGAGGTCTAAAGTTGGCATCTTTATTGGTTATAGTAGCCAGTCAAAAGGATATAGGGTGCTGAATTTAAAAACTCAAGAAATTGAGACAAGCAGAGATGTCAAATTTGATGAAGAGTCAGCTTAGGATTGGAAAAATTCTCAGGTTATTGCAGCAAGTCAATTGCAAAAGTAGATTCGTGATGAAGCACCAGATCTTGTTGAGTTTGAATATGATGAGGAAAATGATCAAATTGATGATGTGCCTGTCAGGGGTACTAGAACACTTGAAGATGTTTATAACAGATGCAATGTGGCCATTACAGAACCCTCATGTTTGCAAGACGCAATGAATTCTGAAGAATGGAAGATTGCAATGCAAGAGGAGTTGAACATGTTTGAGAAAAATGCAACATGGAAGTTGGTTGATAGGCCTACCAATAAGAATGTTCTAGGGGTCAAATGGGTGTATAAAGTGAAGTTAAACTCAGATGGCTCCTTGAATAAGTGCAAGGCAAGATTGGTAGTCAAGGGATACTCACAACTTGCTGGTATTGACTTTACAGAAACATTTGCTCCTGTTGCCAGATTTGATACAATTAGATTGTTGTTTGCAATGGCTGCTCAGAAAAGTTGGCTTATTTACCAATTGGATGTGAAGTTAGCTTTCCTAAATGGAAAGTTGAAAGAGGAGATATATGTTGAGCAACCTGATGGGTATGTGAAAAAAGGAGCAGAACATAAAGTTTATTTGTTGAAAAAGGCTTTATATGGCCTGAAGCAGGCCCCAAGAGCATGGTATGGCAAAATAGATAACCATTTGCTCAGCTTGGGGTTTGAGAAAAGCATTGAAGAGGCAACACTTTATGTAAAAGAGAAGGGAGCAGATTTGATCATTGTTTCTATTTATGTTGATGATCTATTGGTCACTGGTAGTTGTGAAGCTATGGTGAGAAATTTTAAAGCTAATATGATGAAGATGTTTGAGATGAATGACCTGGGAAAAATGTCATATTTCCTAGGAATAGAGGTGCAACAATCTAGCCAAGGTGTATTTATCTGTCAAAGAAAATATGCCACGCAAATCTTGAACAAGTTTGCAATGTCAAACTGTAAAGCTGTCAGCACACCAATAGTTCCAGGAACAAAGTTCACAAGTGAAGATGGAGTCGCAAAGATTGAACCAGGTTTGTACAGAAGCATGATTGGGAGCTTGTTATACTTGTCAGCAACCAGACCAGATATCATGTATTCTGTTAGTGTTCTCTCAAGGTTCATGCAGTCACCAAGTGAAATTCACTTGAAAGGAGCCAAACGTGTTCTTAGATATGTGAAAGGAACTATCGACTTCGGGGTGATGTATTCAAGATCAGACGAGATAAAGTTGCTTGGTTTTACTGATAGTGACTGGGCAGGGTCTGAAGATGACATGAAAAGCACCTCAGGTTGTTGTTTTTCCATCGGTTCAGGAATGATCAGTTGGTGCTCAAGAAAACAAGATGCAGTAGCACAGTCAACTACTGAATCTGAGGATATTGCTGCTGCTGATGCAGCAAATCAGGCAATTTGGATGAGAAAAGTGATGCGTGACTTGAAGCATGCTCAAAAAGAACCCACTGTGATCCTTTGTGATAAAAAATCCACAATTGCCATTGTGAAAAATCTTGTATTTCACCGAAGAACCAGACATATCAACGCGAAGTATCACTCCATTAGAGAAGCTGAACATGATAATGAAATTCAATTAATTCACTGCAGTTCAGAGGAGCAGATAGCTGACATTTTTACAAAGGGGTTGCAAAAATC